TTCGAGAGGTGCAGTTGATCCGAAGATGTCCAACAAGTCCGATTCGTGCCCGGAATGTCCGTTGACATCGAGGACACGTAGGGAGCGGTTGTGCGGCGGTGTTGCGTACTGGGCGAGATTGTGATTTGCGGGCTTCGCGTTTGGCTTTGGCGGCAGCGATGCGGTTGGCTTCGTAGATAGCAGCGCCCGTCTTCACTGTTCTCCTCCATGTCGGACGATCGCGGGCGAGCTCTTCCCAGTTGGTCGGGTTGATTTGCAGGCGCTTCAGGGAGGACTTCTAGGTGTCCTTGTAACGGCGAATTTGGCCTCCTTGACGACGAGAACCCGTCGCGACGTCTCCGTAGAAGAGTCGTTTGGGTAGTCGCTCGTCGTCCATGCGCACCAGGTGGCCGCTCCAGCGCAGCTGCATTTGTCTCAGTATGGCGACACACACTAACTGGACACCACTTGAGCTTGGCCCACGAGCTTACAACAGCGGCTGCCCCCACTGTCCCAGAGACTCGCAGGCCTGACTGGACGCAGTCGACACCAGCCCTGTCTTCGCCAGTGACCACTGCCGTCTGGCAGGACAACTCCGGTTTCTGTGCGCAATAAACCCGTCATTCTGGTGTATTCCGTATTCTCCTTCCAACATTGGATTTGCCCTGATTATTGTAGTTCTCAGACCACCCCTTCACATCGCCTAGCCCCCAACAAGTTCACTTCGACTAACTGTTGTTGTGGTGAGCTGATTTGGTCCTCGTTTTGTTTTAACGCAACGGCAACGCAGCCGTTTGGGACCAAAATGGTTTGCATATCAACCCCCGCAGTCAGGCTGAAGGAGGCAGAACTGTTCAACGATTGGCGACTGTTATTAGGGCTAGCAAAAATGTTCACCTCCACAGGCAGCGCATATGAGTAGCTCAGTCGCATTCTTTAACCGTTGCTTACTGGGACCTCTGGGGATGAAGGAATTAAAAGTCTTTATCTCACGGTCCACTCAAAAACGTAGCTTATGTTGGGTCTCCGCGGTCACCTGTAAATTACGTGTAGGACAGGCGTTGGCTCGAGAACATTCTAAGCCATCTACAGGGTGCTCCAAAAATGCATGCATACTTTGCCAGCCGATGTCTTAATCATAGTTTCTTCCCTTTCAGATTCTTTCCAGTGGTGGTAAGAATAAAATTTAAGCGAAGGAAATTCATCCTAAGGTACTATTGTTTGGTTGGACACAACATGGCCACAGTTAGAGCGCTGGTTAAGCTGACCTTTCTTCTAATTCAGCAAATTTGTCCGTGTTCAGGGATGCGGAGTCTAAATCCAATGGCCTTGTTGCCATGGGAACGTCAGAGGTCGCCGTTGGGTTAGTGTTAGATCCTCCGTCGTAGGCGCATGTCTTTAGCTGCCAACTGCCGTCATCAGGAGGCTTTGTGTGTTTCATTTTCTTGTCCGCCCCTCAGATTACATTATGTTGACTCAATCCGGCGCCTGTCTTTCTCTCCCTGCAGGTGAATTTATGTGGTTACACGCTAACAAGGACAGCCCTCATTTTCTCTGGTAAGTCTGTGTTGGCGGTGTCTGCGTATGATCTTGCGCCTAGACGGGGTGGGGCGGACTACCCGATGAGTTGACCTCTGACAGTCCGGCCCATGGGGGCAGACAGACGTTTTTTGCCGCATTCTCTGTTCCATCTCGTCGTCATCGTTAGGTCTGGCTGTGCGAGCCGGCGTTGGCCACAGGACAATAGGGGAACCGGGACTAGCTGCGAGCCACCCGGCGCATCCCTAGCCGCAGATATTGGAATGACCTTCAGCGAAGGCCGCCTGCTCCCGGTCTGACTATTCATCAGCCGTTAGGCGTGTAGCAGTAGTAGCTCTGGGAATGCCTGAATTCATCGAATTAAAGGTGAAGGCGAATCCTCGAACTTCTCAAAATGTGCGCTAAGAGGGAAAAACGCGTTAATGCGACATTATGCTTTGAATTGAGCCTAAAAGCTCCAGCCCCCTTTAAGTAAACTTCTTGTTCATAGGATTTTGTGGGACCTCAATGACAGTTCGACGGTTGTTCCTTACTGTGTCGACCGCGTGGGCGCAGGGATGGTGACTTGAGTGCGATTTAGTTTATATTGATAGTAGACTTTCACGGGACCTACCACACGCCCTCCTCTCCCATCTGGGCCCGCTGTCATGACAGCGTTAACAAGACCGGAGAAGGCGCAGGTGGCTGGCGCGGCGCGAGCCTGCACCTAAGCATGCAATCACACCCCCATGTGTGGCGTTTGTTACGGGTGCACATCCCAGTAATGCCTGCCTGACCCCGATACAGCTCCCCCTGTTGGTCCGGCGCAGCTACCGCGTGCCCCCGTTGTCGGCGCCATGGGGTGTAGAGTAGTCAGACAGATGGCCAATCACATCCTATGCGCATGTGCACGAGGTAACAATAAGTCAACTTGGTGTCCAGATCAGATGCATAAAACAGACAAATCGGTAACGCATCCTGGTGCACAAATAGGGCCTTATGTACTGTCACCCAACTGGCTGTTGTCCTCATTGAAGGTGTACATGGACTTCCTAATTCATCTGCAGCATGAGGAATATGCCGCTAGTGAAGGACCAAAATCTATGCAATATGCGTATTTCTTACCCCGACTCTCCAGCCTTTATATCTCAAGTAACAGTCGGCAAGGCAGGGGCTTTGCTGATTCGGTTTATTTGAAGAAACCGTCTCAAAGTATCCTACCTTGGCAATTTTAGAAATGCAGGGCTGTTTTAGTTCACTTCATAAATTCCTCCTTGGAGGCTTTCTCTGTCAGTTGGCCCACTTTCAAGGCCTACTCCGCATCATCCATCTGTATTGGCTGTTAACCACTTTTTTGATATTTGGATTGTTGAATTTTTAATCTGTTTTGGTTGATCTATATTCTCCCAGCAAGAAACTTGTTTTCATGTCTTTCAGCACCGTTCTACTTGCCGTGACGGAAAACCACCCCGTTCCTCTCAGAATCTTAAAGTAAGATGATCTCTACCTGCCAGCATTTATCATCTTCTTCTTACGCATACCAGAGGTGCCCGCCGTCCCAAAGCTCATTGTCTGTTATCGTCTTTTTCAAGGGTTTTCCCACCCAGCAGTGTCGCTTTCCCTAACCCATGCCGAAATTGTTTGAACTTGGGCCGATTGGGTCATTTAACACTTACGTCCAACATTCTACTCACTCAAGCTACTGGGCTTGTCATCTGCTTTTTGTCCGTTCGCCTTTTTTTCTGTCAAGTTCAGAAGTAGAGGGCGAACTGCAAAGTGACTGCATTCCTTTCCAAAACAAACTTTTTCAAACCCTACTTTTGAGTGAAAGCATGGAAATATATCAGGTTCCCGTCGTATGTGGGCTTTTTGACTGTGGAGTCAGCTTTGCATTGTAATACTATACTAGAGAACTTAAACTACCTTTTCCTCCTTAATTGAAAAACATAAATAATGGCCTAGATAGCGCGGCTGCGACTTCTTCAAATTATCCGTCCCACCCTCCTACCTCCGAATTCCTTAGTATTCTGTCTCAAACTTGAATTTCAGATAGGATTTTCGCTCACCAATGGTAGTGGGCATTCTTGCTGTGTCCCTTAATTTTTATTTTCAGTCAAAATTATACTGATTCTTTTAGAATGGAGTAGATTTAATTGTGTCCCCTTTTCGAAATTTTCGCAAAGCAGAATCACCTATGCAGAATCTAAGCACGTCAACCCTATGTACTTTCGGCAGTTTCCTCATGCGTCTTTTTGCAGGCGTTTCTCCACAGTCCAAGTTAGCGTCCTTCTGTCTCATTTTCATCGTTTTTTTTCGGCAAGAGCTGGAGTAGGCTGATTTTGTTAAACAAGCAAGCTGCTACCTTACTCCGGTGGTAGGATGGAAAAGGCCAAATTACTATCAACTTACTATAAAAACTAACCGTTGGCAGGGATCAAATATATGCACACCCATAATCTATTTTGGGGATATCTTATTTTACGCGGGTTTATTTTGGCACTTTTTAGCATTCTAAAGCAGGCATACGACGCAAATGCAATTTTTAGCTGTCTTTCATACTTTGGCCCGTCACGCTTCCCGTCTTAAGAGGTCGTGCCCTTAAAAACCCTAATTACCACCATTCTGTGAATCTCTTGATGTACTCTGGTTTATTGCGGTTCATTTGGCAAATTAAAACAATCATACAACGCTAATGCGTTTTATATCTCTTTTCATATTTCAGACGTCCGCGTTTCCCATATCGAGTCGCTCCACCCTTAAAAATCCCAATTTCCACCATCCCTCTAATACAGTTGACTTTGTGTCAGTTTATGGGGGAGAACTGGCACCCGATCCCTACCCAACCATCATTCCCAAATCCAAAATTCGCTTTATGAGGCTTATTTTGGAGTGGATTTTTTGGTTTTCTGTATCTTATTGTTAGGTACCTAGGCAACCTCTACCTGTTGGTCTGCCAGAACCAATCACCCCAGTATCAAATGCTTTATTTTCCGGACCCCTTCGGTTTGACTTTTAACTGAGGCCTGCGGTTGCATTCTAAGAAAATTGTCCAACTTCTTTTCGTTCGCCGCATTCCGCCGTGTGAAAGTGTGCTCGTTTGCGCATCCGTTCTAGGACTTCGTGTCCGGGGATTCTGTCCTGACATCTCAACCGAGATGGAAGTGGTTGAGTTTCTCAGCATGGTTGGAGTAACCGGCTCAAGTCTCCGCTCCGTAGAGAAGTGTCATCAGGACGACAGCCTTGTATATCTCCAATTTGTTATTCAGTTGGAGGCCGTAACGATTCTACACGGAGTTCTGCAGCCGGTCGAGGGCCTGGCTGTGTTTGGGGATCCGATCGACAACCCCATCGTCGATTCTGGTGCTGTTAGAAAGTGTTCTTTCGAGATAGGCAAAAGCATCCACGGTCCCGAGTTGGTTGCCGAAGGAGTACAGTGTTGCGTGTTGAGTGAAGGTTAGTGCATGACCACCGTTTTGTCCCGGTTTATAGTCAGGCCGAAGTTGGCGCATCCGGCCTGTAAAAGCGCGCTCGTATGCGGGAGTCCTTGTTGCAAGATATGACAGACATTTCCCACTGTCGAGACGGCGTTTCTGAGTTGCTTATCTCACCATATCTGGATGCGCCTGGCGTCAAGTAAACCGTCGAAGGCACCGACACTCTTCATCATCTCCCTTCTCCCTATCTCCCTTAGGTTGCATCCTACAGTTCACCCTGCCTTTTGAGCCATGGGAGTGCCTGCTTACAAATTTGGAGTCATTGTCTATTCTTATCCCCCCCCCTCCGTTTGTCTGCCTTCACTGCAGCGCCGTTATTGCCTCCGCGGTCAGTACAGTCTGCCAACAGGTGAAGGTCCTCTCAGATTTTCTCGTTGAGATCATCCGTTTTGGTGGGCAGTGCGAAAATGCGGACTCAGCAAAGCCAACTCTGCCCTATACGCCCTCCGCAGTGAGTTTCAGTCCCCGTCCATTTCCGCTTCATGTAGTCGCCTCGACCCTGCCCGCTTTACTCAATCTTGGAAGCCTTATGCTCTAGCCCAAGTCTCTGCAAATTATGATTTGCGAGCTTGGGGTCGCTAGTGAGCTGGCCTAACCATTCCCGATGTTCGGTATGAGTGAATTTTCGCGCAAATAACAACTGGCATGTCCTTGCCATTTTGAATAGTTGGCTTCCCACACCATGCCCGCAAAATTAAGCCAAGGTATCAATACGCACCGTCACTCATTTGCCCTGGAGTCTGTACTGGCATCACGAGGCTAAAAATAATCCCTGAAAGTTCACACACACAAGTTCGCCCTCGGAAGCCGTCCCAAATTTACATCTTGCGACTATATCCCCTAAACAGCGTCGTGATTGGGTACTTATCGCTTTTCGTGTGCCAGCAAACTGCCTTCAGAGATAAATGATATTCGATCGAGGATGCGAGCGCCCGACCACACTTGGGGTGTATTGAGGCCCCTGATCAATCAAATGCATCGTGATCGTGTCATATATCTACAGGAAACCCGCGTACCACGTATCCAGCCTTCTAGTCGTGCATTACCTATGTTTGGAGCAAATACGGGAATTTTCGTTTTTTTAAAAAAAGCACCACTTCGTTTTGCGGGCGTAAGCATGCTATTCCCCTCTAGACTCAATATGATCAATCATTATTTACATGATCCTGTAATGCCCCTTAAGCAATAAATGTGAATAGCCTGACTACTGTTTATCTTTTGCGACCAATCGGATGTGGCCGACTGCGATTCCCGAAAAACTTAGAACGCAGGATCGAACCCCCCCCTCTCCCATATCCATGACTTTTTATTCTTGTATTTTCCAACCGATTTTGACATCCTCTCCTCCTCCCACCCCATGTTCTTCAGGTACTTCAAGGTCTCCTAACCTTCTGTATCAAATATCGCGTCATTTCGCTCGACCGAATCTTGCTCTCTCTGGTATGGTATACGTCAAAGACGTTTGTTTTGTATTGCCTCACACACCCTTTGCCGCAACCCTTGTCAGTTCTAAAGTAAATCATCTTTTTTTTCCATTTGCAGCTAATGCGCTCCTGCCAGTCACCAGTGGAGATAGCCGCTGTGCACAGTGTATTCTTTTTCGTCTTTTCACAATCCTCCGAACTGCGGCTGGCCATTAAAAAGATCTCTGAAGTTGTAAGTGTCTTCCACCAAACACAATCCGTAAAAAAATATTCCTCTTGCCCTGCGCCTTGTTTTCACCCTTTTTGAAGTTTCTTGTAGTTCCTTCATATGGTTTGTCAAACCTGCCACCCTATATGCCAGCGAAAACGTCCTTTACAATTCCCTGGGTCTCCTTTCTTCCTTCTGTGTGAAATTTCGAGTTGTGATAGCTACTCACCACCTCTTTAAGCCCTTTTCAGTAGTCACGAGCAACTTATGGAAAATTGCGCTCTTTCATCTGCATACGCAAATGAGACTGTTGACCTTCTATGCTGACGATTTTCAGGGATCCGCCCGCCCGCCCACTTCCGACAATGCCGATGTGGATGGCGCCAAACGCCGTTCGCTCCCCTGTCCGAGTTTGATTTCTTCCAGTCGTTGGCAAGACTTGCTCAACTTCCTCCATTCCATCATTCCTGAGCAGTCTGTACAATTGCCTGGTATGGATGAACCCGAAATCAGGCAGCCGCGGATGCCGGTTTACTTTGACCACCTTCTCCTCCGTCTGCTGCCCATCCTGGAGATATTCTTCACCTCCTGTCTGGACAATCCACCGCCTCTCCTACAACTGGCACGCTTTTGCAACATCGTTTCGCCTCTCATGCTCCTGCATCGTAAGTAGCGCTGACTTCCCTACGCACCTACTCGGTGCCGTTGGGGGGGGGGGAGGGGGAGGTTGGCACCAATGTCATGGCTGCTGTTTTTGTTTCAGATCGCCCGGTCAATCTCTCCTTCATCCTTCTTCGCGGCCAATTCCAACAATTTGGCAGCCCTATTCCCATCAATGCAACCCTCCCGAAGGTTCTTTCCTTTCGCAAGTCAAACCTCGTAGACAAGGTCTGCTGCCAACTGATTATCCGCACTCTCTTACACGAGCATCAGCAGTTGGCTGTTTGCACCAATCGCACGTTGCGACGCGACTGTGCGATGCGCTTTGCAGACTTGGGTGTCTCGGGTCTCTTCTCGCCGCCCGCTTGGAACCACCTGGAATCGGTGTTCAATAAGGCTGTGGCCAAGGCGGAGGCCGCGTTCCCATCGCCGACCTACTCTGACGCTGATATCGCTGCCTGTCTACGCACCACTGCCCAGGTCACAGAGCAGGAGCTTCATCTGGCCCAGGAAATCGATCAGTCCGCCGGGGCCTGGCATCCCACCGCGGAGTACATGTTTGCTCTTTTGTCTCCCATTGTCGCCAGTGAGTACCGCCCTCTTGTTCTTTAATCATAGTGGTTAAAAAAGCGTTAAAGGCTAGGATTGAAGGGCTACTGAAAAGGTAGATTGCAGGACCTCCTGAAATAGGGGGAGGACATTAGTACTAGTTCTATCCGTGGGGCAGATCGGCGCGGCAATTGACAGAATTTGTGTAAAGCATTGAGAAAACTCGCATTTCTGCCATATGTTTATTTTTATTACTCCAACAAGGTGCCGGAATAGACCGCGCAGTTTGAAGGATGCGAATCAGGAGTGTTTAGACGGGTGGGAATTCAAGGTTATTGGTTAAAGAGGGCCAGATTGGGTAAGACAACATGTGCCAGGCAAACTTAACCCTAACCCTAGTCTTTTACTTAACCCTAACCTTACCCCTACATTTAATCATTCCCTTAAGTTTAGCCAGAAACGTTACTCCACTAGAATGAAATACGGTAGATGCAGTATCTCATGGAATGTCGACTGTAATTCTGAAATGTGTTTTCAATTCAAAAAGGTTACTTCAGTGGGGTTGTTACATCAACTGTCATTTTGTATAATGTCAAGCTATATAAGTCACATCAGGATGCCGGCCGTCCACAAAAATGACTACTTAAGTAGTATACGTTTTCCCGATCTATTTTCGGTGCTATTAAAAACTCAAATGCATATGATGGGAAATAAGCACGAAAGATTCTTCTTTTCACTTATTTGGTGGCATGTTATGTTTTCTTCTTTTCAATACTTTCTCTGCTATGGAATAACTTTTAACCCGACCTACCGTTACGCCTACATTCAGGGCTTCCGGACTGCAAGCTATATGCTTTCCGTACGAGGAAAATCACACATTTCTATATGTTATTATGAAGAAGACATGTAGCGTTCATAGATTTTTTTGATGCATGTGGACCCCATCGCCCGCCTTATAAGCCGCATTAATAAATGTGCTGATGTAACGCTGTACGATTGTACTTTTCATGGTCTTGAAGAATCTCGTTGTTAGAAACTTCCAAGACTGAAAGATAGTCTTTCTTTAAGCTCACGTGTGGGGCAATCATCACGAAACTTTTTTAAAGATATTAAAATGGGCAAGATTTAAGGCCACTTCCAAAAGTAATAATCAAGCCAGCCCGGTTTTTGTGCTGAGGGTAGTGAGACTTACTTGGTCAGCGATCAGGCTCTCAGCCCAGCCAGGTGTTTAAACGAATCCACTGATTCAGAGCTGTTATGTACTTGCCGAATGTCTTTAACGTCGATCTAGTGGTAGAGATGGTCGGGCAGTGATACGCGTCTGCTAGCCTGAATTCATGGCGCGACTTTATTACTCCCCTGGAGTCTTCAAGAGCGGCAAAATCTCCCGAACTATTGTCATACTTCTGGAACTGCCGCAAGCGACCAAACCTTTCACTGCCCCAGGGCATCGGCACAGTGGCGACTCGTTTGTCAAGTTTGATTATGGTAAGACGGACTTGTACCGCATCCACCTCGCCACCTTGTTCCGATGGTGAAACAAGGTTAGGACCATCGCATGTATATGTTTGCGCAGTGGCTGATAATCAAAGATCCCGTTCGCAATGCAGTTGCTGGTCCCTAACTCCGCATGATTCTGTCTTTAAAGGGGAGTCTCTGATCTCCTATCGAGGAGATTTGCCAGAGTCCACATTAAAATGGAGCCTCTGCAGTCTGTCCCACCTTCCAGAGGGAAGACCGAGTTGTGCTGTGAGCTGATGACCTTCTAAGTCACTACTGTTGATGCGTCGTGACGGTTTCTAGGCCTGTTTGTTTGCTTATAGCGAAGAAGTTGGCGCCTGA